AATATTATTGTTATGAATATCATCATTATTATTACTATGATCTGCTATGACAATCTAAGCAAGACGTAGAACTCAAGAAAGATTTTTTCTTGATGGGGTTCTGGATGTTTTGAGTTAGGAGGTTCTTGGCAGGGCAGGCCTTGAGCTGCTGATACCCAGACCTACAGGTGAGGATGTTCAGTTGCATGCCTTTAACATGGGCAGTCCACGAAATGAACATTGGGAGCATTACACGCTCCTCGTGGACTGCGAAATGCCCTGGCAATGCAATGTTTATTCTTCATGCCAACAATGGGCGGCCCGAAAATCGACCCCGATATGCTATCATCGTTTTACCGCAACAAGGCGTATTATGAATAGAGGGCCCCCCGGAAAAAGGGACCCTGATTCATGGAAGCTCCCAAGTAAGGTTTGCTTTGGTAGTGGGCGAAGACGCAAGGTCTGAAGCCCGGGGACAAGGTGATCCCTTGCTACACCCCGCAGTGTGGAGAGCCAGCTGCTGGCCCGCAGGAGTTCTTGGAGGTACATGGATATTCATAATTGTCTTACTGGAGGTTGGTAGGGAAGAAGTGAAAATTGTATATATGGATTATATAGGGGTCAAATTCCCATATTCCCTACTAACAGCTAGTAAGTTGTAGTCATCGCAAGGTTTACCGGTATACGGTCGCAGATGACAAGTTGGTAGGGCTTTTAGGCTTGCTGTAAAAGGCTACGAAAATTGTTTGACACCGCTATCCGCAGTAAGCTGACGCATGGGGTATGTCTCAGAAAGGCTACACCGACAGGGTTGATGCTCCACAATGAGTCGGTTCCCCCAAGATTCTACATGGTCTTTAACTTGCCGGAGTTTTTTTTTTCACGCAAGAAGTAGCTGCTGCAGGGCTGTAATTAAGAAGGCCTACATGCGGATTCCGTTCTGTACTTGGTGGCAGGCTCGCAGGAAACCCCGCCATAGAATGCCATAGAACCTTATATCACCCTGTATAACCCTGTATAACCTCGTGTAACCCTTTTTTTTGCTCTAAGTTCTCCCAGTGCTTGCCTCGTTCAGCCAAGCCAAGGATTGCATCTTCTGCTTTCCGCCTCGAGGCATCTTCGTCACGAATGGGTAGGGAGTTTCCCAAATTTAGGGATACCTTACGCGGGGTCCCCATAGTAGGGACTGTAGGATTTTGGGTCTATGTTGGGATCCCCTTATTTTGGGAAACTATTCGTAGGGATAGTGGTAATCAAAAGTGTCCCTCATGCAAAATGCGCCAGACAAGAGCATAGGCAAAGCTGCTGACATGGATGGGGAAGGGCTTCGAAGCAACCCTAAACCCCAAACCCTAAACTGCGTGAGGCAAGCGAACGAATCTCTGCCCAAAGATTCGTGGCACACAAGGCGCTGGCCTTAGCAGACCTTGCTTTGGCCAGGGTTGCCTTTGGAAGCTGCAGCCACTCCCAGCGCTGAGCTGCCCATCTTTTTGTCAAATTGTTGTAAGATGATTTTGGCGGAGTTCGAGATCAGTTTTTGCGTTCTTGGATGCTATCGGGGAGCCCAAAAACACGAGGGCAATGCGCAACTAAACTAAAACTCAATCAGGATATGTTGAAGCTCCTTTCTATAAAGGACTGCCATGTTTGTACCGGAATCCGCTAGCCCACAGAACTCTGCTCCCAGCATTTTCTGCAGTGAACGGCTCTTTGTTTCCCTGTGGTGCTAGGAAAAGGTGAGGCTTCGGTGCTGCGGAAAAGTACAAGGGAGGAGTCGGCCCTCAGTTTTCGATTCATTGCTTGCATCCCTCCCTTTGATTTCCACCCTCCCTGGTAACGACCAGCAAGAAAAGACTCCAAAAGCACCGGGCCACACCCACTGGGGGTAGGGCCCAGGCCGGCCCCAAAGGAAAAATTCGAGCCCTGTACCCAAGTGAAAAAAGCCTTTTAGTGTTCGGTAGTTGTGTAATGGAGACTCACATGGAAAATGGAACATGACATGGAAACTGTGGCTTTCGTACTGTCTTATAGGGTTTCAGGGCCAGGTGTGGAGAACCTAAGTTCTAATTAGGTAGTGTCCTACAGTCCCGTACAACTTGCAGAATAGATACCCTCCTAATACTAAATATGCCCCATATATTGTAAGATACCATAAGGGGAGTCTTTAATGTTATTAGGGGCAATAGGCCGGTAGGGGTTTAATATTAGGGGAGGGGATTATGCCCAAGATAACAATAATAGTTTGCATTTTCCAGTCCTATATACTCCTATATATACCCTTGGGGTCCCCTACATATCCCCATTTACCCATGTAATTTTACGGGGAGGGGGTTATGCCTACCTGGGGCTTTCTCCCTAAGCCCTAAACCCTGCATCTTTTTTCTGAGGCGGCGGCGTCATGCCTGACGGCACCAGCCGCTTCACGGACGAGAGCGGGAAGGAGATCAAGAGCCTCGGGCCAACTCAGGCATAAAGGGCTCTGTGGGGGCTTTTGGGTCTTAGGGTTAGTGGGAGTAGGGTCTAGGCGATCTTCTTTGGGAAGATGCCCAGGGAGGGTTTGGATTCTGAAGTAGGATCCTGCATCTGGTGGTGTCTACCGGACTCCCCTGGGCTTTGGGATGCCTTAAGGCTTAAGGGTTCATGTTAGGGCAATATCCTGCAAGTACCACTGTTGGAGTGGAGCTACGAAAACCATGTAAGGGGGGATGCTCAACTTTTTTCTTCGTTGCCAAGTTGAATGACAGGACATCACGCAGGATTTGATGTTGCTGCAGGAATAGTCTGCAACCCGCCCGATCCTGCAAAATGCTGTGGCCGTGCAGTTTCAACTTTCAACGCGAAGCTAGCAATTGGGTGGAGGCAGCAAGGCTTCAGCGAGTCCGAAAGTGCTGAGGCATTTCATGGGCTGCTCCACCTTCTCAGAGTACACCGTAGTGGCTGACATTTCCTGCGCAAAGGCGCGACCTACAGGTTTTCCCGAAGTAAATGTGTTTTGAAGGGATTTTGAGTAGTTTGCATTACTACAAGTCTGTATTCTTTGATCAAGGTCTTGATCCTGATCTGAGATTCAGGACATGTCTTGGATACACGCGTCCAAGGTAAGGCATATCAGGCTTGCGAAGAGCCCCTGGCCAGTTTTTGAAGTTATGCGTGCCTCGCTGCTGATAAAGACTATTCCCCTTGAAGAGCCTGCAACACATGGGAAATGAATGGAGAAGACTTTGTTCTTGGGCAGGTGAATGCTTGTTTGGGTTGTCTTGGCGCCGCTGCGTGACTCCTCACCGTGAAAGACCCGTCCTGTGCAGGTTTCAGACACTGCGCCTCTGGACGCAGCTTTCCCAGTCATACTTATAGTGGTGACATGTGGAATGTGCAAACTTAGCTTGGCTGGCAGGCCGCTAGCCCGCAAACCAGATCTGCTTGCAGCTGTTGGCACATTCAACTTGCTATGTGTTTGGTAGAGGCCATAGTCTGGCTGGCAGGTCTGGGAGGAGTAGCTTGGTAGCATCGGAAGGACACCTTGATGCGCAGGGCTGGTAAAACAAAGTCGTGGTAACCTCAGCTGTGGTAGTCGTGATCGTCATCATCGTGGTCGTTGGCGTTGGTCGTTGTTTCGCTGCGCACTGTGGAGCAGTGGCTCCAGCAGCAGCGGCGGGGGCGGCGGCGACGGCAGCGGCAGAGCGGGAGTGTCGTAGAAGTGGGCAGTATGAACCCCAACTGTACTTTGCGTTAAGATCGTGATGCAAATGTCAGAGGCCGACTTGCAGTTGTTGGGCATCGTCGATAGCTGCCAGTGTTTGCTAATGGTGGCAGGCGTGCCTCCTAATGTTCCTAGTTGCAGTGACTGAGGTTTGTTCCTTGCTGGGTTGCGGCGTGTCGACTCCCGGCTGCATGCTTTGATCCGGTGGTTTCTTTTCTCAAATCCAAAGTTGTCACTTTTCCTTGCGCTTGCTGGTCTAAGTGATTCATAAATTGCTCTGCAAGGACCGGCCTGGGAGCAGTGTGGAACACCCTGAATGTAGAGGCGTGCCCAGTGCTTACACACCACTTTTACAAAAAACTATTGCAGCACAAGTGTGCGGGTGCTTGTACCTTTAGACATGTATGCTCCGGACTGGCAACAGCAGTGGTTTCAAGTTTCTTCCGATGTTTCTACGGTGATGCAAGTCTATATAAGCTGCCTGCATGGTCAGACGTGCAAGGCTGGACAGGTCTCACCGTTTTAAATTCACCTTGCCATAAGGCTGCAGCTTGTGCTGCTGTCCACACTTCCTGGGCTCTTGTGGACACTTGTGATGACAGCAAGTTTTAGTGCAATCATTAGCGAGTTCCCGGTACCGGATGGCGAACATGCAGCAGTAGAATCAGGTCTCACACTCGAGGGCTGGCAAATCTTACCCTTTCAAACGTGTCATTTCAGATTCCGGAAAGTACGACGGTCGTAAGTAATTCCTTCTGCTACTCTCAATGCTGCATTTGGTCTTGCCGACCTTGGTTCTTGTATTCAAAGCAGGTAGCGACAATTCCCTACAGCCGTTTGGCTCGAAGAAAGCGGTGTTGGGACGTGCAAGGCGTGCAAGACGAACCACAGACACAAGATGGGCGGACTGTTTAGCCGAAGCTCCCCTTGCGCAGGACGGCGTAGCTTTTCTGGTGTCAGTGACATCAACATGACTTCCATTCGACAAAGAGTGACAAGCGCGGCGCTCTTCTATTTGAGGCACTTGCGAAGCTGTGCAGCCACAGCCCACGGTGCATCTTCAACAGCCAAAGCTTCAGGTCCTTTGGGAGGGGTGGGCTCCCTGCCATTGCTGGATGTCAGTGACATTTGTTCGGCCCTCCTAAGGCTGGCCACCACGGTTGGTCGACAGCTGCCCACCTTGATATGCGACATGGTGTCACTTACAGCTCTTCTTAGTGGCAGCACCTGTAGCAGGGGAGCAGCAATAACGAGGATGCTGCTAAAATTGGCTAGCTTCCACACACATCCAGTGGCATGCAGATGCCTCAGCGGACTGCTCATGGCGTTGCAGCTGCCGAGTTTGGGCCTAACAGTAATTCCACTATGGCTGCTAGCTGTTACATGTCCTGACTTCCCTCTAGCCTGGGAGGAGGAGGAGGCTGATGAAGCTCCTGGGCAGATCTCAGGTTCCCTGTTGGCTCAGGGTGAGATGGAGAAAGCGGACCAGGTGTACTTCAACGGGCTGGCGGGACCTCTCTCCAGCATGCACAAGATGAGATTGAGAGAGGCTCCCACGTGCCTACAGGGGGTGCGACTTCACTTTCACCAAGCTCGAGGCCTGTCGTTCTTTGCAGTGAAGGTCTTCAAGTCTAGCACAGACATGAACTTGATTGACAGAGATGCCACCTACGATGACCTGGGCGAGCCAGAGGACTTCTTGATTGTCTTCACCAGCCTGGGCGTAGAGAAGTCGGAGCAACTCTTTAAGGCAGCAGAGGCCCGTGTAGAAGAAGATGCAGCCTTACACAGCTTTCACAAGGCCCTGGAAGAAGTCGACGCAAATGTGCGTGATGAGCGCGGGGAGACAGCAGCGAGCAAGGTTTGCAGGTTTGGGCATCTAAAGATGCTAAAAAGCCTGCGCCTGGCGTTGGCTGACTTTACACTGGCGGACAGTCAAGGTGTCACCCCTTTGTTCTTAGCTTGTCAAGAGGGGCATGTGACATGCGCTAGCTTCCTCCTGGAAGTCTGCGGCCACATGAGAGTTTGCATCAGCCCTGACGGTGAGTTGCCTGAACGGTGGGTGGATTTCGTAGACCGGCCGCTGGCCAGTAATGCCACATCCCTGTATGTGGCCTCCCAGAATGGTCACCGCAAGACTGTCCAACTCCTGATTGCCCACCGAGCAGATGTGAATCTGGCTACTCGGGACAACGCAACTCCCGTGTTCATTGCTGCGCAGATGGGCAACGAGGGGATTGTTGATGACTTGATCGAGGCCAAGGCAGACATTCATTCTGCAAACAACACTGGTGCCACCCCGTTGTTCATTGCGTCACAGAATGCTAGACTGGAGATTGCCAAGAAGTTGATGGCCTTAGGGGCCGAGACGAACAGTGAGACAATCGGCGGCGCGACTCCCTTGTATATTGCTGCTCAGAAGGACAACAGGAAGATTGCGGAGGTTTTGGTTGAGAAGGGTGCCCTGGTGAACGAACAGGCGCACGATGGCGCCACACCTCTCTTGATCGCTGCGCAGAATGGCAACCTCTCCACTGTGATGTTTCTTCTCTCTCTGCAGGCTGTTCAGCAGGATCTCTGCATGCACTCTGGGGCCAGCCCAGTCTGTGTATCAGCGCAAAACAATCACCTGGCGGTCGTCAAGGCTCTCGTGCGGTGCCGCAGCGATGCGAATCTTTGCTTGAAGAGCAATGTGAGTCCGGTCTACATCGCCGCTCAGAATGGCAACCTGGAAGTGCTCAAGTACCTGCTTGAGAAGACTCCTGACCTTAAGGACAAGCCAGCCATTGGAGACGCCACGCCGCTCTTCATTGCTTGCCAAAATGGTCATGACATAGTCGTTGCTGTACTCATACAACAGAAAGCTCAGTACAACTGCACAGAGGACGGCTCCACACCGTTGCTGGTGGCAGCTCAAAACGGGCACCTAGCAGTGATCAAAGCCCTGTGGGCAGAGATGGGGCCAGCGGTCGCTTTGAATAGAGCCAAGCGCGGTGGTGCAACTCCACTCTACATTGCTTGCCAAAATGGGCATTTCCACGTAGTCCAGTGGCTCCTTGAGCATGGGGCAGACGCCCACAAAAGCCTCCAATCGCAGGAGACCCCGTTGTTCATCGCGTGCCAGGGAGGATACCTGGATGTGGTCCGCGTGTTAGTTGAGGCTGGGGTGGACGTGGATGCCTCCAAGAAAGATGGCGCATCCCCGCTCTATATAGCCTGCCAGAACGGTCATGTAGAGGTTGTGCGGTACTTGCTCTGCGAATCGCCTCGAAAGCCGGACGCAGACTTAGCCAACTGCAATCAGGCCACTCCTCTTTTCATTGCTTCTCAGAAGGGGCACGAGGTTATTGTGGAGCTGCTCTTGAATACCGGCGCGAGTGTAGACAAGGCGCTGAAGAGTGGTGCCACGCCTTTCTACATCGCGGCTCTCAAAGGGCACTCGAATGTTGTCATTCGTCTCCAAGAGGCCGGAGCCGTGCTTAATTCGACTCCCAAGCACGGCGCCACACCTATTTCAGCTGCGGTGCAGAACGGTCACCTTGAGGTTGCGAAGCTCCTCATCAAGATGCGAGCAGATGTCAGCAAGCCAAATTGTGAGGGCATGGCCCCCTTGCATTATGCTGCCAAGGATTGCAAGTTGGAAATGGTGGAGCTGCTCTTGGAGTACAATGCAGATCCAGCAGCGCGGACGAGGTGTGGAAGAACGGCATGGGATCTTGCCAAAGAAGGGGAAGAGGTAGCTGGCAATGAAGCACCTGGGTCATCCAGCTCCAATGATACACTGCCAAAAGAACATTGGGCTGCAATAGCCAAGAAGCTGGGCACAAGTTGCGCCCCAGCCTCTGCAGCTTGAGACCCTGACGCTGCCGCATATCCAGCCCAGCTGCGTGTGTTCCCCGTGGATGCCTCTGCCCGCAAGGCCTGCTCATACAGGGTGGGGCCCTGCGAGGCCAACAAAAAAGGATGGGTCTTTGGCAGATCTTCAGTCCAAACACCGCATTGCAGAGCAAAATTCGCGTAGTTTTTGGTGGCAGGTACCAGGTAGTGAACATTTCCGTGACCAGTAAACTTTCTAGAGACATTAGCACTGCCTTCAGTCAGATCGTGACTCATACTTCGCAATTAACAATTTGCACTCACCTTTTGCCTGGCCGAGCTTTGTCACAGTGTGACCCTTCTGTAGAGTATAGCTGTACAGTTCACCATTTCTTGCAGCCGCTGTGCGAGCATGCTTTGACAGCCTCGCGTAGTGTTGCTTCAACATGTTGGGCTTCCCTGAGGATCCTTGCATGAAAGTGTCTAAAATTAAACGAACTCCGTAGTTTGTCTTAACGAACAGGAGGACCTGCATGCCAAGGATGCAGCAAAAATGTGCAGACGGGCGGTATGCATTAGAAAACTCCCGCTCGTCCTCCGACTGAATTGCTATTCTTTCTGCTGCTACCCTGATTGCTGCTGCTGCTGCTGCTGCTGCTGCTGCTGCAATGTCCCCTTACTCAGAGTGCGTTATTTGGACGAAGCGACTGCCAGGGTGGCTCCAGCGTTGCCGTCTTCGGGCTTGGAGCTGTGGGCTTGGCTGTGATCCAAGGTTCTCCAGGGGCCGGAAGAGGGGCAGCTTTATCATTTGAGGTTTCTGAGCACCGGGGAATCTGTGGACACTTGGGAAAAGAATATTTTCAGAAATACAAGCCCCTGACAAGACAACCCCAAAGTCTTGCAATGCATTTTCCCGCAGTGTCCCGCTGTGACGTTATGCTTCAATGGAATCCTACTAAGGTGGTGCTCTCAAATCGTAAGTTTGACCGTTAGATTGAGGGGAGGACCCCTTGTGAGAGGCCTTGCACTGTCTCAGAACGTGTTTTGCCATGGGTGAGCCCAAGAGGATGAGTACAGGGAATGTAAAGAAATGGGTAACCGAAATTAATCCAAAACCACGCGAATATTGCAGGCTCTCAGATGAGAGGGGCTGCCCGCATCTTTGCGATTGACACGTACCTTTCTCAGCCAGACAGGGGAGTTTGCTGTCTCTGCCATACTTTGTATCAGACTTGTGGGACTGGGGGTCAGAGAGCGGGTGTTGGAAAGTCAGATGCAGCGTATCTTGCCTTGACTGATCCTTGCAAGCAACCAGACAAAGTCCCTCAAGATGGGCTAGTCCCTTAGCCGAGGTGGTCAAAGATGTGCTTGAAACCATCGATTTGCCGCATCTGCATAATCTCCATGTGGTGGTTTCCCTGCCTTTCTGGGGGTCCCTTCCTTATTTTGGGAAACTACCACGTATACCCAGTGTGTTTCGGGGAGTTATGCCTGCCCAGCTGATGCTGAGGAATCCGAAGAAGTTTGAAATCGCAAAGGTGCCTGGGCTGCTCATGTCCACGAGTTTGTTCCCCCAAGAAGCTCACACGAAAGCTCAAGTTTCCATTTTATGTGATTTTCCGTTTTTGGGGTAATGCTCCATTAGAACTCCAATATGTGCCCAAATTCATACCCCATTGTATATGTGTGTATATATATATATGTACGTGTGTAGTGCATCCTTCTCTTCTTTCGGATCCTCTTCATGCTCTCTGCTCCCAGGAGCTCGGGGCCACGGACTGCGTCAATCCGAAGGACCACGACAAGCCTATCCAGCAGGCAGCAGCACCATTTCCCCGGGGCAGCTATAAAGATGATCGCATTTGATTTGCGTTAGACTTGCGAATGCTCCAAAGTCACTGTCGAACTCCATCATTACCCCATTTGGCACTGTAGTAAGGATTTCTTGATTGCTGCTGTCCCTTGGCATGAGGTCCTGGTTGGAATGACGAAGTGGGGCATCGACTACACCTTCGACTGCATCTAGCCGCGGTTTGCAAGGATGAAGCATACGTCATGCAACAGAATTTGCGTCTAACATTTTGTGCAGCTGCTTTGCATTCACTTTGGTGGTTGTGTTGCTTGTGCTGCAGCCGCTGTGCTCTGCTCCCAGGCACAGGAAACACTGAAGTGATGCGGGCAGCACTCGAGCAGCTCGGCCACAGATGTCTTGGCTAAGCTTCCGACAACCCTGTTTCGGATGGCTTGGGGTCTCCTTGGAGATATAACCCTAAACCATAAACCCTGCATCACGCTATATAACCCAGTATAACCCCAATCTTATACCCTATTACCCCTAAGGTAGTCGTGGATTGCAATGTATATTTGCCCTTAGGGAATCCGAGGGGTGTCCGGGGATTAATGGATCAGAGAGGTCCCGCTAAACAGGATTTAGAGGATATTTTGGCTGTAGCCCATGTAGTGTAGTGTCACCCAAATGTCATAGCAGGAGTGCCCACCGCGGCTGGGGTGAGTCCTGTGTCATCGGCGTGGCGGCTGCTGGGAAGGACATGTCAGCAGTCAAGCCTAGGTCCAGGAGGTAGGGCCAGAATGCACATGAGGAGCCCTTGTGCAAGTACTACTGTCTGGACACTAACGTGTTTGGCAAGCTCTGAACAGAAGTTTTGTGCACACCCCGTGCTGCAGGAGATCAGCACACGACCTTTTCAGCTGGTTACCGGCCGAAAATGGACCGGCACAGCTGGGACCTTGGCAAGCTGTCAGTAACTGCCATCTTCCGCAAAATGGCGTGCATCTGTCTGGGGCCCTTATGTATAAATCCCCAAGACTCGTACTGCTATTTGGGCCTGTTCCTCCTCACAAGCTTCCGTATGAAAATCGAGCCGGGTCGATTTGTGGAAGTGGCGCTTGAAACCTTCAATTATGGATCATCAAAGCTACTGTAAGGGGGACTTCGGAGCATCTCATGTACCTCTCTTGGATCATGAGACCAGTCACTCGGATTGTCTTCCTGCCTGAAGCTGTGAGGCTTTCGGCGGCTTCAAGGGGCGATCCGAGGTGCCGCCGCTCATCGACGCCTACCAGGCTCATTACCCCAATATACTATAGTAGTTTCCATTTTATTTTTCCATTATCGCAATATTACCTCAATATACTATAGTAGTTTCCATTTTATTTTCCATTATCCCAATATACTCCAAACCCTAAACCCTTATCCCAGAAAGCCCTAACCTGGATGATCTGCTTCCATTCTTCTCCCTGGCACTTCTTGAGGTTCCTCCTGCACCAGACTCTAAGCTCAGAAGGTTAGGAGTAGCATGCTGTGCTTCATCCACGCATATATATATATATATAAATATCCCTGCGTGAGTAGATCCCACCTTTTTTTTAGAGTGATTCTTAGTACTCTTACTCGAGAGCGTTCTTAGCAGATGAGGTTTGTGAGCTACCGCTGAGCCCTGGCTTCTGTCTTTGCCAAGTTTGACGGAGTGTTCTTTTCCTTCTATTAGAAGAGTGGGCGCTCTGTAGATGTTGTATGTCTTCAGCATGTACGTCGAAGGCAAACCCTTTCCCACATCCCAAACCGTGGGATCCTTAGGATGGGGATCCCTAAAGCCTAAAGCAACGGCGCGTTACTTTGACCAAGACGCTGTGACGTGAGGAAGGCCGGCTAAAGCTGGACCACTACATCACCCACCGCTTCCAGGGCGTGGAAGGCAAGGCGAATATAGTCCCCCCTTAAGTAACTAGAACATGGGAATCTTATTGTAACATACCCAAAGCCATACTCTACCTACTTAAGGGGGACTATAGTTGCAGGGCTTGGCCATTGACTTATCTTGACGTTTCTATATTCTCTGCTACTTGAAGTTTTGCTGGTTTTGTGATAGTTCATCAGCGTAGTGCTGCCCTTATCCAGAGAGTGCAACCGTGAAGTCTCGGTCCTTCCAGTAAAGCTTGAATTTGTTCTCCAAGCCAGTCGAACTGCAACTCCTTCATCCTGCATTAGGCATTAGGGAGAACTCACATCCAGGGAGTCCGCCATAGAGATCTAGGAAGGAAAGCAACTATCAGTGCAAACCGGGTGAGTTTTTTGCATTTAGCCTAGCTTCCCGACATCTCCCTAAAATGCAAGACGCTGCATGTGCAGCAAGCAGAGCTGAAACGGAGTTTGGATTTGCTCACCTGGAAGGAAGCGCCCTTTTTCTGCAAATTCCCAATAATCTGACAGTACTGCGCTTGCATAGTATAGTTGTTATACATGGTTGAAGTCGGAACCCTAAACTTGGGCCCTAAACCCTAGACCTTAGGCACTTAAGCCTCAACAATAAATCCCCAGTCCTTGCAAAGATTGATATAGTAGTTTCCCCAAATAGGTGGACCCCAAGATAGACCAATATACTATAGTCCTCATTATGGGGACCCCCCAAAAATGGTACCCCTAATTTTGGGAAACTACTACATGTATCGTCTTGTCAGGCAACATCAAGGCCATTGAGGCTCTGCACTCCGGCGAATGTCTCCGAGCAGCAGCGCTCCCAGACGGAGTGAATATGTGAACTATAGTCTAAACTCCTTTAAAGGGGGTTATATAGGGGATTATATAGGGGACTACTATAGGGCTTATTAAGGGGGATACTAGGAGTTTAGACTACAGCTCATATAGGGCTAATGGAAAAGAAAATGGAAACTATAGGAATTATAGGGATTATATAGGATTTATATAAGGATTACGTATAGGGGATACATTAAGGTTATATAGGGATAATGGAGAAGAAAATGGAAACTACTATAGTATAATAGGGTGTATATATATTGGGGCTATATTGGGATAATGTTGAGATAATGGAGAAGAAAATGGAAACTACTAGAATGGGGAGGGACCCGACTATGCCTGTTATTCTTCTGAACATTGTAGTTACTATTCTCATTATTCTTGCTACCAATTTTGCTACTACTCTTCTTGACAGAAAGGGGTAGGGTTTAGGGTTCGGGGGTTAGGAATTCCGGCCTTTTGGGCTTAGGATTTCAGGGGCCTCAGGGTGTTCTGAAAGGGTTTGTGGAGATAGGCGGGCAAAGTTTACAGCTATTGGACTGCAACGTGCAACGGCCTTCAATCCAGTAAACCTAGACCCGAAGCTCATGATATTTTAGATTCCAAAGCTTGTGGAATCGGGTGGTGAACCACCGCAATCAGAACTCTCATGTAATTTACGCGGAGCCAGCAAGAATTACTTAATTTCGTGCGCCCTTCAGTTTGTGTAGTAAATAGATCCAATCTTTTGCCAAATGCCACTCTGAGATTCGACCCGCAGGTGGTGACCTACTGAGCCGCCAGTGACCGCCAGCCATTAGCTCCTAGGTAGGAGGCATTGAAGTTATAGCCAGGCTGCAAGCTACCTGGAGTTTGTATGCTGATCAACACTAGTGATCCGCAATTTGCCAACCTAGAGAAGGAACACCTTGCCATGGTACACGGAGTTCAAGGGACTCGGGTTCTGGGATGTTGCGCTGCGTAACAGGTGGACAGATAGTGGCTGCAAGGTGCGCACCAGGGCAAGTTCTAGTCTTTCCTGCCTGGATTGCTGTGCCATAGAATCCTCCAGAGGCAACTCCATATTACCCCACTGTCTTCTGCACTTCCTCCGGCGTAGCAGGTTTTGTGGTCTTGCGTAAGTTGTTGTGGCCCTAGAGCTATGGCAGGCAGTGCGGCCGACTTCCAAAGCACTGACAGGTCTGGGGGCGATTGTCAGATCCGCCCCGCAGATTCTGGCGCAGAGGTGGGGACCCAGACCCCCTAAAGGTTCCCAAAAATGGAACCCCCTCATAGTTTTCCCAATGTAGTAATGTGTTCATATTGGGACGGGCTCCATTTTTTGGATCCTTTAGGGGGTTTGGGTAGTGAGTCTGTCCTTCTCGCAGAAAGCCGTGGAGGGCATGGCTTGAGAAAGACTCCCGGAGAGAATAAATGGGGATTTCCAAAAATCAGAGATAACATTTTGGTGGTCCCAATATTAAGGATTTATGGCATTTTGGGGTCTCCCCCTCTTAGGGAAACTACCAAATCCAGTTGTTTTGTAGGGAGGCTATCTCAAGCAAGCCTAGGAACAATGCCTCAGTGGCCCGTAGCTCGAGCTCTTGTTCTCGCAATGCAAGCTTGCGTGAGACAATCAGCGGAAAACAGGTCCAGCTGCGGCACCTGATCTCCTCCTTCTCGTATTAGACACCCCACCCCCCCAATATTCAGTCCCAATAGATTATGGGATACCATACTGGGAGTATTCAGCAGGGGGCGTGGAGGGGTTAGATATTAGGGGAGAGGATTAAGTCAGTAGGATCTTTTCCTCGCACCACCTTTGACCTCCATCGCCCTGGCACAAATTCAGACTTGTCCGTGGCTGACAAATATGAAAGCGGGAGCTTATTCTTGAAACTGCCCGTGCAGACCACAGAAAGGGGTCCCAACTTTCGAGCTCAAACCCCAGTTTCCAAGTCACTTTCCGTCTGCCTTTGCATTTGATTCTGCATTATTGGGGTCACTGCTTTTCATCTTCATACATTGTTTGACATTCTTCACCCCGCAGGAGCAGAACAAGCCGGTCTTCAATGTTATCTTCTGCCTCGACAGAGCCCCAGCCAATGGGTTGTTTGGTAGTTTCCCTAAGAAAGGGGACCCCAATATAGAACCCCCAAGTATGGTAGATGGAATTATTTTGAACCCTAAAAGGTAGCCCTAATTTGGGAAACCTCCGTTTGTAGGCAGCACTCAACGCATAACATGGCACATCTCAGTTCTGCAACTATGGGCATAAAGTCACAATCACTGGAGCAATGGTCATATATGCAGGAGACCACCTGAGCAAGAGGGAGTCTAGGTCGGAGGTCTGTGAGAACGTTGAGCTGCCGCGTAGCTTCTTGTACCAGGTTTTGGGAGACAGCGAAGGGAAGTTTACGAAGCGCTCGTGTTCAAATAGCCGTATGCAGGTAAATGAACTTCTTGCGCTTCCAAAGCTCTCTACCCCGAAGCTTCGCTTCTGAGTTCCAGATGCCAAGCTCCAACCACCTGTAGCCGTTACAGCCGATGGCCCGCGCTCTTCCACCTTTTATCCTTGAACACCTTTCTCTTGAGCAAAGGCCTTGCTCCCGCAAGCACTCTCCACCGTCTTCAAGGCAGCAGCCGGCATCTGTTCGTGGCTGTGTAGCTATCTTTTTGGGTTGCTGTTAAGGAACTTAAATTAAGTTACCATAATGGGTATATATATATATAGTAATTTATAGGGTTTCCCCTATATAGTAACTTAATTTAAGTTCCTTAACAGCAACCCAGTTTTGGATGGTGGTTTTCGATGTGGGTGGGTGCATCCCTAGCTCTGACCTGAGAGCTGCGGAGCAGGATCCGTCTCAACAAAACCTGGGCACAGGTGTCCTTTCATAGCTCTGGCTTGAATCACGTAGTACCACTGTAGTTCTTGATGAAAACTTCAAAATTAAAGTGATTCAGGGTTTGGGGTTTAGCTTCTTGATGAAACCTCATCAATGACCAACAACCATTGTACATTGCTTGACTTGTATTGAACGGCCGCGTGGGGAAGGCTGACTACTCTGCATTTGCCTAACCAAAACCACTCATCATCTCCCTGCGCACATGATGATTATGGTTAGCTATCACTGTTGCTCGCATCATTGTTTATGCTCCCTGTTACAGGTTTTTTCAGTTCTTTAAGCACGGGTCTGCTGTGGAACATGCATGCCGGAAGTAGCCTTGCTTCGTTGGTTCTGGGGGTTCACAGCAGCCTTCCTGGATTGATGCTTGCATGGCCTTCAGCACAGGCTCCTGATTGAAGGCCAGCCGGGTCAAATCGGAGATTCTTTTGGATCTGGGTGGAGTACCAAGAACAGGTCAAACCAGAACATTGCCATTCTTCACGTGCCATCATGTCAGGAGATCGCTTTCCGTGGCTTTGATGGTGACTTGGATGTGTGGCTTGCCTCAGAAAAAATTGTGAGCGTGCTTGGCATCCAGTTTGACATGGGTCTCCATGAGGGTTTGAGCTTGTACACCCAACCATTCACGTGGCTGTGGTTGATTTCATATTTGGCTTCAGTCGTGGCAAGCTTTCGAACAGCTTCCTCCTACAGCTTTGGTGCTTCTCTTTGCAGCGTGATAAGTGCCAGAGTGATGCATGGCAGGAATGTCCTCCAGTTCTGGGTGGCAGTGTTCCAGGCATTTGGCTCGGCATGAAGGAAGAACATGTGCAGTTGCAGGGCTATCATGTGTTTTGTCTCGAATTCCCGTACGTTCAGGGGGAACAGACGCAATCACTAGCACAGCTAAATGCCGTGTTTCTATTTGTGCTTCTCGCAAGTGTCAACATGCTTTCAAAACAAGATCAATGGCAAGGTTTTTGCGCTTCAATTATGTTTCAGTTGGTCTTATTTATGCCGCGGCAAGTTCATTGTCCGGGCATTCAGCGCGCCTTTTTTTTGAGCATCCTAATCCCCGCAAGTGGCCCACGTCAGCCCACATCTGTTACCGCCCCTCCAAATCTCAGACGTGGGCGCTTCTAGCCTGATCCGTATTTAACCCCAATATACTATATAGTAATTTCCATTTTCTCTTCCATTATCCCCTATACAACCCCAACATACTACATAGTAGTTCCCATTTTCCTTTCCATTATCCCTTATATATATCCCCTCCCATCCCTAAGGTCCGTAAGGGCCCTTCATGTCCACAGGTCGTGGTGAATTTCTGTGGCATGCCGATCTACACCCTTAAAGTCCTGGGCCCTCAGCAGGTGCCCTTGGAGGCGTGCGAGAGTAAGCAGTTCTTTGCTTGGAGCTTTTGCAAAGGTAGGGGTTTTCAGAAATGTGCCCCAAATCTGAGAATTCTATGGAGAAACCTTTCATGAAGGGAACGCATTGGGAGCTACAGCTGTCTTAGGGTCTAGGGTCTGAGGTAGTCGGTCGGGACTGGTTGCAAGAGGTAAGCGGCCTGGCTGGTTATTCCCATTCTAAAACTTTAAGCAAGCCCAACGGCTGAACAATTCTTTAAATTCATGTGCAGGAGATGAGCAGCATCGCCGTTGGAGGATCGCGCTGTCTCTTTTTTGCAGAGGACGGCGGGGGGGCGGGGGTGGGGTCTGCGTGATTTTGGAGCCCTGAAGCCTGACCAACGGGATGGACATAGGGCTTGGGAACCTCTTATATAACCCCAATATAGCATACAGTAGTTTCCTTTTTCTTTTCCATTATCCCCTATACAACCCCAATATCGCTCCTGCATGTCTGTCCTCGCTATGCTAACGGGCACATATGGGTCTTCTCAAAACTGTGGACCCCTTCTTGGGGCACCGACAAGGGGATTATGCTTGTGGCGGGCGATTGCGGTGATCATCCGTTCTGCCATCGCATAAACGTTATTCTGTCCGTGTCAATGTGACACCCTGTCTAACAAGGGGAAACAAGTGTTGGAGCCTCTCCGACTTGGGGGACCTCCAAAGCAGCAAGACCCACATGGCCATACCTGCTGCACAGGACCAGGTGATTACCAACTGTGGTTTGCCAGATGCCGCTTGGCTTGTGCTTTCCTCCATGCAGGTGCAAGTTTTTTTTTCCCCGAAATCTCCTGCTGGCTAGGGGTTCGGCATGATGAGGACAGTACTGTATTAACTATTTGTGGGTCTTTAGGGGTCCCACATTTCTGGAACCTTCAAAGTCTAGACGTAGTTTTGTGTGCAGATCTTTCCTGCGGTGATTTGGAGACACCTGCTCAGACTGGATGAGCCTATTGCCGTTGCCTCCGATTATATAGGGGTTATGTGGGGGTTATTTTGGGAAAATAAAATGGAGACTACTATTTAGGGTTACTTCTTGAAGAAGCCCTGCAAAAACGCACGTGTCAATCTGCACCCGCTCCAAGGAAAAGCCGTGCGATAACTGCAGCGCTGCTTTCGTACCGGTTGGCAACTCGAGGGCGAGCTTGTCCACGGGCTTCTGTCATAACTTCATCATGACTGCGATAGCTGATGGTCTAGTCATGCAAACACCAGCAGCGAATGGTATTGCATAGTGGCTTCAAAAACACACAAGTCGCAACCCAGTAATACCCGACAGTCTCTTTTCACATCTATCGAATAGTGCTACCTAGGTCAGAACGGCCGAAATAGTAGTTTCCATTTTGTTCCATTATCCCTAAACCCTAAGCCCGTTATAGTAGTTTCCATTTCCTTTTCCATTATCCCTGAACCCTAAACCCATTATAGTAGTTTCCATTTCCTTTTCCATTACCCCTAAACCGATTTCAGTAGTTTCCATTTCCTTTTCCAAT